CAACTTTACCGATACACTCAACTTCAACAATCGCGCTAAACAAACGCTGTAACGTCTCTCGTGCTCTCTGACTGCAGTTCAGTTACTCACTGTCTATACACACATTACAATATCCTCCCGTCACGTTGTCACTCTCTTTTATATACCAGTCTACCCTCTATCTAGTCAATACTAGAGCATTCGCCAAGATACGGGATAGTTCTAGAAAGTAGAGGGTGTGAGAATCACATGATCTCGATGACGCAACATTACGATACACTTAATTTCAATATTCGCGCTAAAACAAACACTATAACGAACGAACGTTAACTTCAACAATACCCTGTGACTGCAGTTCAATTACTCACTATCTACACACACATTACCATCACGTTGTCACCCTCTTTTATATACCAGACTACCCTATATCTAGTAAATACTAGAGCATTCGCCAAGGTACAGGATAGTTTTAGAAAATAGGTGGCGCCACACCAGTCACGTGACCTCGATGACGCAACAATAATAACTGTTAATTCAAGTTATATCTGCTATATTCTTTGCTGAAGTCCCAAGGACTATTTAATTTGTTTCTTTTTATATTTTCATTTTGGGTATATATCATAATTCGGCGTAGAATACACGCTATTAAAAATAACATGCGCACCCTCAGTATTGTTTGTTTGTTTCGATATTTTTTCCTTTCCACAAAGCTACAGAATGACTATGTGCTCATGGCCATCCCTAATTTTGTATTCTTAAACAAGATAAAAGACATGTAATCAACAGTGCCCATCGCCAAATCTAGGGCTACTCTTGAATTATTGAATACTGCATCCACAGCCCCAAAGGCAGAGTAGGTTTTTGTGTTAACGAAACTTGAACCATGATGTCTCATACTCACAGTCCGAGAACACTAACTACTAGGCTACACCAGGTTTGTGCCCTCGGTGAGAAAAGCAGTGAACTAAGAACGTTGTAATTAATTTTTAGGAATGGATAACTTGAAATAATCTGTAACAGTGATTCACAATATTTTTCCAACTTATGACAAACTAGATTCCAAAATTTCTTGGACTGTTTCGTACAATATTAATTTTTAAAGTTCTTTTAAATTACATTGTAGAACAATCTACTTTAGAAGCTATATTCTAAAACAACCCCATGGACCACAACTGGTTCACGAACTGGTAGTTAACCGCTGATCTATAATATGAATTTCACCGACTTTTACCAAAAATCAAAGGATGTAGTCTATAAAAAAATAAGCTGTATCACAGTAAAGATGTCAGACATATTGACTTTTTGTTATTCTGCTTTTGAAATATATTCATTGTATTCCAAAGTACCTATTAATTATCCTCTTATGCTTTAACAGATGTTACCTGTACTGCTAAGCCATTTTTTGTAAGATGGGCAATGGAATCGGGGTTATGAGTCCGTCCCAGACCCCTCTATACCGGAAGAACAATCTGAAAGAACCTCTAAAGACAGGAAATTGGTTATATTCTACCAATGGAATAAAGAAACCTCTTCCAGAGTTTATTGTGAATAGTCACGTTCCTCTTGTAGCTGTGCGAGAATACAATCAAGAACGGCTTCGATCTGCAGAACGAACCAAGGGTGAATCTTTTGATCTGACAATCATTAATAGTGTTGATGGAAGTGGATCAAAAATGCCTTTGGTGAGTTTTTGTTTTTTAATGTATATTTATGCCTGGGGTACAGGTTGGTACCACGTTTTTACTCCCTTAGTCAATATGTCATTTTTTCAAAATTTCTGTATTTCCTTTTAGCTGAGTTTGAATATGGAAAGTTGTTCAAATAAATAGCTCTTAACTTTGCTTCTTTTAAAATTTTTCCAGGACCTTCTTGTCAGTTAATTGGCAATTAGCCAATTTTCTTGCAGGGAAGATAACACGTGATGTCTAGGAATATAAAACTATCTTTATTATCAGTGAATCGGGTAATGGCCTAGGGTTTGGCTCACCTCAGCACCTGAGAACAAGTGAACAGAGATTGAAAATAGTTTAGTGTGCAAAATCTGACTTAAATTGTTGCATGTTTTATGTTCAAAGTCAAGTTCTCTTTTGTTTAACATATTTTGCAAAATTTTAAACCTAGAATTGTACTCTTTTTATAGGATATTTTTATTTTAACTCCTGGTTTGAGAGATTGTTTTATTTTAACTTAATATTGGGTTTAACTTAATATTAACACTATTCTAGTTTAACTGACATTAAGGAGGCACCTGCCAGATTGAAGAAAGAGAGAGCTCTTAAGGTTTCACTTCTTTTCTCTCTCTTGCCAGTGAAACATGATTACAACAGACACAATTGCCTTTGTTTACTTATTTATCTGTAATTGTGTGTTTATATTTCATGATTCGACTTTTTTTTCCACATCAATTCAGAGAACAGTAAAATAAAAAGATATAGCATATTTGTTTATAGAGATGATACTCTTACCAAATGTTGCATATCTCTACTCAATTTATGTCTTTAATAACTATCGATTATGAAACATTTAGACAACATGGCCAAGTGGTTAGGGTGCTCGACTCGCGATCTGAGGGTCGTGAGTTCGAATCCCCGTCACACCAAACATGCTCGCCCTTTTAACCGTGGGGGCATTATAATGTGACAGTTGTATTAGTTGGTAAAAGAGTAGCCCAAAAGTTGGCGGTGGGTGATGATGACTAGCTGCCTTCCCTCTATTTTTACACTGCTAAATTAGGGACGGCTAGCGTATATAGCCCTCGTGTAGCTTTGCGCGAAATTCAAAACAAACTACCATTAAGACAATATTGACAAATAATATTTTTAGCATTAAATTCTCTTTTTTAAGTCTGTTTTTGTTTTGTCACAGGGAACTAACTATGAAAACAGTAACAACGAAGTGGCAAAAGAGGGACAAATATGTAAATCAAAGTAGAGAGAATGAAAATTTATAAACCTAACTGGTTTATAATTAGTATTAATTTTGATATATGAAAGTTGTTTTTATGTAAACTTCAGAAGAATGTCAACTTTATGTTTTTTAATACCACCCTGGTCAGGGAGAAGAAGAAGAATTAAAAAGAATAATTTCAGAGCTTGGTTATGGAAAACTTTTCAAGGATCCTAACTTCCCACCTGTCAAATCTTCTCTTTACTTCACTCGAAAACCAGTGGAAGATAAAATCATATGGATGAGGCCTCACGTAAGATTATCATTATTCTAAACACCTTAGATTTATGTTTTATAGTGTTTAAAATTGAAAGACAAATTAAGAAGCCTTTAAGCCAAAAAACATATGAATACATATATAACAACATCGGTTCCAAAATTTCCCATGCTCCATAATTATATTATCTTTTTCCACTTGTAATTTATTTTTAATTTTGCATCACCTTTGGCTCGATTTCGTATGTTTAACTTTTCTTCAGTTTTACCTTGATATGTAACCTAAAACATATTTTAATAAACTCGAATTAGGCTCTATTTGTTTCCAAAATTTTCCAACAAAATCCTTATCATCTCTAACGTAAACTTACTTCTGGTATAATGGTTTTAAAATTGTCCAAAGTATGACTTAGTGGTTGCATAATTTCATTATTTCTACCCACTGTTCAATAATTAAGAATTATAGATTTTTTGCAATGGTATGTAAACATTTTGAAATTATATTAGGATCCATAACGTCCATATATAATTAAATTTATCTTGGTTGAGGTTATATATATATATATATATATATTATGTTGATATGTGCTCTACCATTGGGCGAGCTTATTTCGATTATTTGGTGAAAATAATACAATGTACGGTCCACGTAACGATAATGAGTTAATATATTTCTTCAATACAATTTGCTATGGGCAATGTTCAGTTGTATGCTTAACTTCACAAACAATGTTTGAACACAAATTTTGAAACTAAACAATGCCTAACTTACAAATAAACTCACTTGCAGAATTCTTTACTAAATGATTGATAACAAACACACAGGTTAACTTACTGTTTAGCTTACTAACTGAATCATAGAACTGAATGCCTCATTGGCTGGCACTGAACTACTTTACTGAATCTTGTATTTATATTCTACTCTTTATTTCTACATACTTCACTAATCTTCCAGGTTTTTAACTTTCAAAAAAGTTTGAGATATTGTGTAAAATTTAATTTAACATATTAAAATATAGCTTCTGATACTGCCCCTTTCTCGATTTTATGTACCTTGTATAATCCTAATACACACAAAATATCACATTTAATTATGCATTTGACAGTCTTATTTGGTTGTTTTATTTTCTAAGGGTTATGGTATATAGGTAGATAACCTCTTGTCCTTTATCTGCACTTATTATTCTGTAATTTGGGTATTTCTCCTTGGGTAGGTGGTTAGGCAAATCCACTAGTGACTCTACCCTTGTTGATCCTCTGGAAGTGTTTTTGGCAAGGACCCCGGGATCCTCAGCGAGTTTGCATTTCACAAGCAAATGATTCTCCAGTTGGTCTTCTCTCACCAATATATTTTCAAAGAGGATGACTTTTGGCTTGGACCACCTGCTCTTCTGGATCTTGTAAACCACGTCATTGATTTTTAACAATACAACATATAGCCATTTCCAACACCAGATTAACTTTGGAGTTTGTTCTTTCTTGCAGAAGGGTCATACCATGTTACCTCGATGGTATTCAGTTTTATCAGTATTAACCTCATAGCAACTTTTAATGTTTATTATGTAAGAAAAAATAGAAGCACAGTTTCCTATCCATTGTTACAAATGAGTTAGTATTTCACCCATCCAATACATCAACATTTTCATGGTTCTGTTCAGGGCAATGCATGATAAATTTTCTCCTGAGATGTCTGGAGTTATCCTGCTATTATGCTTCTGGGTTGTAAGAATTCACCATCCAATTTAATGATTTATGTTCTATTAAGGGTTTAAAGTTTTGTCTGTAGAGGTTATGATGGAAATGGCTTGGGGCTCAAACAACACATAGTATCTCTTTCTAGGTGATACAATACTTCCTTTCTATAGCATTCATTGTCTTGCTATAGTAGGCAATCACATATTCTTTTCTGCTCCCACTGCAAAATCACTAGCCCCTGTATCTAAAATGAGAGGACCTTTAAGAATTGGTTATGCTAATACAAGAATAATGGTTAATCCTTACTTCAGTTTGATAATTAAATGGTTGTTCACAATTAGAAGTCCAACAAAAGTATTTATTTGTTTAGGTAATTTGTATCTAGAATGAGCTACGCCAGAGAATGATAGTAAGAACATAGTCCAAGAAGTCGTCTTACCTCGTGCAAGTTCCTTGGGGTTGGCAAAATCTGAAGAGATTCAACTTAGATAAATCTTTAAATAACTTTTCTATTGACTATTTATCCCAGGAAAGTTACCTGTTGACAGAATAGTTTTTATTTTATCTAAGTAGATGAGTGTGGCATTCTAAGGTAGTTCAGACAAAGCAAACTCAATCTGATATTGAAGTGTAATAAGTGCATTACATAATCTAAACAGTAACAAACAAATTGGCACAATCCATTTCCTGCAATAAAGACTCTTCTTTGTCTTTGCTTCATAGATTTGCACTTGTCAATATACACTCTTCATATCCACTATTTCAAACCATTTTAATCCACATAATACATCCAAAACAGTCAGTCCATGCAGCAGGTATACATCCTTCTTTGAGGCTTCATTTATTTGTTGGTAGTCCACACAGAATCTGGGGATTCATCCGTTTTCTTCACAAGTACAACATGTAACGCCTAAGAACAAGTACATGGTTGTATTACTCCTTATTCCTTCATGGCTTCATCTCTTTAAAAGCCTGTTTTGCAACTGGGAGTGGACTGACTAACTGATGTATTAGAGCTGCATCTCCAGTATCAGTGTTATGAGGTATTTTATTTCTTTGGCCTAAGTAATGATGTCCACAGGAGAAGGTGTCTTGATAATATATAAGAGAGTCGGGTACTATAGGGTACTGATCAGCTGTAAGACCTCTATCCACAATTCCAGTTGTACAGCTTTCATAAGTGTAGTAGAAGGCTGTCCTGATTTGATATCGGACTTCTACATCCTGCCTTAACTATGACTACTGCCTGATGTTCTTTGATGTGGAAGTACTACCTGTATAGCTTACATCTTCCAACGTTCCTTCTAAACTTGACTCGAATTTTGTGTTTATTGCCCTTTGTTCTTCAAATCTATGAGAGTTATTCCAATTATTAATCCTTTAGGACATACTGGGGTATTTAGTTCTACTACATTCCCAGTCATTTGATGTAACTATATTCCTATTAAGTCCTGGTATGAGTATTTCACGTTTTCATGGTATAATGTTCATAGCAGTGCTCACTACCTCTGGAGTGCCATTGTCGCTACCACTACAGCAGAAAAAAATAATGGCATTACTGTTGTCGCTACACATTTATAAATATAGAGGCACTGTCGCTACTACTACTTTTGAAACTAACATTTTTCATTATAATTTTTTATTTTTGGTCATTGGAATAAAAGAATGAAAAACGCAAATTTATTGGTAATTGCTAATAATTCACTGCTACAATAACATAATACAGACTTACTTGCGAATGATGAGAGGAAAGTGATCAGATGAATATGTTACGTAGCATAGGCGAGCCTAATTAAGCCCAAAACAATATATATATATATACACACACACACAAAACTCTATAATTATACAAAGTATAGTTATATACAATATACAAATGATTATATTTTATATTAAAAAATGTAGCTAGTAGCGCTTTGCATAAAAAAAACAAAGCAATGCTAACCTGCAATCTCTATGAATTTCCAAATGTAGCGTCGACCTACTAGTAGCTCTTAGAAACATAGCAGCACTACGTAGCGCGCATTATTTATAGTGGGGCTATGCACAGTTGTTGTCACTGGAAGTTCAACCTTTGATGTAGTAATTACTGTACAGGAAGCTATTTAAAGCTAGCATAATCTCACACCTACGTCTCCACATGAAGTCAGTTCCAAATAAACACTCATCTTCAATTTCAATTATCCATACATCACGAGCTTCCTACAGTAAAAGTAATTACCAACTTTCCTTCTGTTGGTACTATATGTCGACTTGAGGTGATTCCCTTATTTTAATTACAAAATCGAGTCAAACTATTGCTGCTTTATAATTGGCATTGATTGACATACCGTAAGTTTTCCCATTAATATATCTATTGACTCATGGACTGGTTTCTTTAAATAACAGACTTCTTATCTCAATTTTGACTGATTGAATATTCCCAGGGGAACTTCACCCCATACATCCAGTACATACCTGTTTTCTTATGTCTGGTTAGCTCTTTTTTGTTCCTTTGGTCTGGTTGGGCTTGAAGACTCAGCCTTAGGGCCTTGCGTCCTTGGTCTATTAACTGTTGATTTTTAACAGTCTCGGATGTAATGCTATGTTTCTTCATTTATAATAATTTCTCTTCTTGACATCCTTTGGAAGGAATTTATATTCCATACAGGCGTTTGTTTACAGTTCTAGGTAATATATTATTTTAAGTTACACTTGAAACACCTATTGTCTTGTGATTTACTTCCTATATTCTGTGCAAACTAGTTCTCTAACCAATCCTTTCATATTTTCTAGACCCATGATGATTCCATAATTCTAGACAATGTCTTTAGCTATTCAGCTGAAACTTTAATGAATTCAAGTTCTATCACAAACTAGAAAGCTTCCTTTAAAATTGTGCCTCTACTTTGTTTCTGCCTATTTTCATATTTGCTTTATAAAATAGCATCTATAAATTGTTTAAGTACCAATAAATCCATCATTTCATATGAGGTATCTGCATAAGATGATTGGGCAAGCCTTTTCAAATTTTCCACAAGTCTGGCTAAGCTCTCTAAGATCCTCCATATTTTGTTCCAGAAATTTTCTCTCCATACTTTCTTTTGATGTGCCACTCTAAATTTTTTTGTGTTAGGCTGTTACCAATGCTTGCTAGTTATAACGGTTCCCAGCTGGGTGGCTACTTAATGTCGTGAAAGCTGGTCCTTTTTAATGGACAGTAAGAAGAATAGCTTGTTGTTCATTCTTCTACCTGTTTACTCTAGGAATGAATTGTTTTGAATTGAGTCTAATAAATCCTCATAAAACCCATCAACCATAGATTCTTGACTGGGGGATGTTGTTGAGCTGACTAGCAAAATTCTGCAACTGAATTTGGTGGTGACATAGCTGAAGTCCAGGAATGTTCTCCATAATGGTAACAGGTGTAGACCAAATAGTTTCTCATTTTCCATATTTTATAGTAAATGGTATTTTAAGTTGGAATTCTTAAACAGATTCAGAAAGAGGAATGGCAGATTTGATCTTTGCATGTACCACTTTATTTCCAAACGTTTTATTATGTCATTGATTTTTATTGCTTTCCCCAATTTTGTCATTACAGCCTTTTTGTACTTCATTGATGTACTTTCGTACTTCTTCAGTTTTGTCATCACAGACTCTCTGCACTTTGTTGATGTTTTTCTACATTCCTTCAAACTTGTTGTTACAATCCCTCTGTATGTCCTCAGAAGCTTCATGGATCCTTTTATGAATCAGATTTAATTTTATGCTTAACTCTTATTTCATTTTAACTTTCTGTTTTATTCTTTTAATTTTCCATATAATTTTTTTTGTTCTTCCTTTAATTTCCAAGCTCTTCATTTATGATCTTCTTTTAATTGTTTTGTCATCTCTAGTTTAGAGATTGTGTTGTCATCTTGAAAGTTAGTTAAAGTTGTATCTTATTTTCACCAAAATAATCCTAACTTTGACAACAGTGTTGTAACATGTTCTATTGTTGGACAGGTTCTTTGAATTATTTATTAAAGAAAAAGTAATGACATGTAATGACAATGAATTAATTTGTTTCTTCAATAATATTTGTTACAGGCTACATTCACTTGTAGGCCTAACTTCACAAACAACGTTTGAGCACAAAATTTCGAAATGTACAGCGAATTGCATAACTTCTTACTAATTGATCAATAACAAACATGCTAAAGAACTCACTATTTACCTTATTGACTAAATCACAGTAATGAATAATGCACAGATTAGCACTGAACTGATTCACTTATTAACTCACTGATTCACTGAATCTTATATTTATATCATACTCTTATTTCTACATACAACACAAAGCTTCTATATTTTAACTTCCTCGAAATGTCTGGATATTGTTTCATGAACTGTCTAACGCACAAACATATCGATTAAAATATTTAAAATATAGCTTACAACAATTGCAACAACCACCTCTGAAGGATTGGAAGGGCAATCGAAGACCAAACATATAAACAAACTTTCCACAGATCCTACACTACACGTAGTTGGCATGTCCCAAAGCAAACTGAAGTTACAAAAGTCCACTGGAGCCACAGCAGAGGATTTGAAAAAGTATATTGTAGAGTTGGTTGCTGTGATTACAGTTACATTGGCCATCGTTTTTGAGAAAGTAGCTGTCGATTTCAAGACAAGTCTTAGAAATTATAAACTTTTCGCTTCTGACCATTTGTCAACTTTCAATTCTTACCAGATATGCAGAGGATTAATTTTGGTGAAAATGTCCTTTTTCATAATCCTAACCTTCAGTCTATTGATGAGAGTGTTATGTCATATTGGCTTTAGATATTATTTTAAAGCCAGTTACTTTCCTAAATAGTTTGTTGTGAGAGGATTCTGCTTCTAGGAGATCAATGAAAGCTATTAAAATGAAAGCTATACATAACTAATGCATCGTCATTTGAAACTGACTTATTTTTGGTCCATTTAACAATGTAATGTTAAATATCGTTGTCATACTTTGCTAAGTTTCAGTACACTTCTACATCTTACACTTACTAAAACCAAAAACTAGAGAGCCTATATAATTTAAACGTAAATAAATAAATATCACGTTCTTCTCTCATAATAGAAATTCAGATTTCTGATTAAAGTTCAAAAGACAAGTTGTTAGGATGTCTTCTGTGAAGAAAAATACCTCAAGCATGAATTGTTTGTTAGCAAAGAATAAAGGAGGGTAGCGCTGTCCTAATGAATTTATTTTATATATTTTCCTTTGAAACTTATGGATAACATCATGTCCAATTGTATAAGAAAGCAGTTTATATATATATAGTTGAGTACGATATATTAAAGTGATTTTGAATATGCAAATCGGCAAACCACGTGACAACTACAGCTGTATATAAAGTTGTAGTGGAATGGCATGTACCGGAACAACATTTTAACATTGTTTGGCATTTAGTAGATATTGTGATGACATCTCAAACTGATCACTTTTGGGAAGGGTATGTAACAGCCTCTTCAAATGCAAATATTCATACATTCAGATCATAAATATTTGTTAATGGCATTGGAAAACCAAGAAATATGAATCAACTTGGGTCACCAGGGCTATCCTGAAATATACGTGCAACGAGTCATATTCAAACATAGTAAGCAAGATGAGGCGTTTGTTAACAGATAAAAATACAGGAACACAAAGGTCAATGACAAAGCCATCCACGGCCCCAGACAACAATATACAACATATCCTAGAAGGATCTCGGTCTGGAAAACGACACAGGTCATGTGTACAAAAGATGCTTCCACGAAGTATTTATTTTAACCATCACATACCTCAAGCAGTTGTAGATTGAAACAGGTTTTCATGCTATTTCGTATGAAGACACCAGTCAAGTCGATAGATGTAGTGCCTGTGTATTTCTGTATAATTGGTCTGTTCTAATGCGTGCCAGGAACCGTCATTCTCATACACTAGATGGATTTGGAAAAGTGAGTAATGAGGAGTGGTGTACTTTATACAATAAATCTTCACGACGGAGCCTTTTGCAATGGAAATTACACTACAGGACTACTATGAAATGTACATTCATCAGATAGAGCGCGACCGGATATGGCAATATAAACTATAATGATGTTTTAAGGCTCCAAAACAGTTTTAATGTAGCGTACTCAACCTCTGCACTTCTTTTGTATTTGAGTTATGAGTTTGTAAATATTAATTTTGAGAGATTGTTTGTACACACCTCTTACAAATTTGAAAAGTTAGGTTCTACATTAATATTCTTGAGATTTTTGATAATATACTGATGAATAGCACACTTTCAGTAGTTAAAACAGCAGCTGTTCTTGAGTATGATAATTACTTTTCTTTTTCAATTTTTTCGTTGTGTATTTTTCTACATGATCGACTCTGCTTTATTCTATATAGACTAAAGCAATAATATTAATTCAGGAACTAATAAACGACCCCCAAATGCTTGTTGATGGTGTCAGCAGGAATGATATTGTTCAAGGAATTTTAGGGGATTGCTGGTTTTTGTCTTCGTGTGCTGCTTTAGCGCAACGACCAGATTTAATGAAAAAGGTAAGAAATATTAAGGTTTTTAACTATTAAATTGTGTGAAAGTTTACAGGAAATAACAAATTTGCAAAAATTGACATTTCTTGTTTTGAACAACAATTTACCCTTTTGCTAATTTTCTTATGCAAAATTTTAAGACAATTTGTCGACATACTTGGGGGGAGTTCGAAAATCAAGTAAACATAGATACATACATGAACAATATTGCGAATTAGTGTAGATATTGATGTCTTTGTTTTAAATCACATAATGTCTATACATAAAGTTAATCATTTGTTATTTTATTGCTTTATGTGTAGTAGCAACAGGTATTATGTATATTTGTCATTTTATACTGAGAATAATAGTTAGAACAGATCTCCACTTTGTTAACTGAGCACATGCGATAATCAGGTGCTCTGATAGGAGGGTCGAAAAGGAAGTATTTCGGTGAGAATCAATTAGATTCATCCTCATAAATTAATCCAGTACCCCAAATTTAGGGTCCAATACTGCAATTGGCCACTCTTCCAGATTAGGTTGGAAATACGTCTGGACAGAGACTAAGAGGCTTGTGTTGTACCATGATTTTAGTCAGGTAAAATCTCGCCCAGTACTGTATCCTACAATCCCAAGTTATCCCAAATTTGTGATGAATGAAAAGTGGAGATAAAGTTCGCTATTCACACCTACGAGCACAAACAACTACACCACCCCAAATTTTAGGCATAGGCTAAGTGCTCTTTTAACAGATGAAAATAAACTTATAGAATGGCTCCTGTAGTGCGTACCTTCCTAAGGCATTGACTAGTATAAGATAAGGCTGACTACGTCTTGTTTACAAGATCGCCAATTAAACGTTTAAATATTACATTAATATATCTGAGAAAAATGTAATATTATACTAGTTATAGGAGAGTAAAGCTCTGGCAGTTTCTAACTATCAAACACAAACTCAGGTTTCACGTTTATCTAAAAATTAGTATAATTGCAAGGACGCCTGAACTTCAATTGTTAGAATGAGGGTCTATTGCTAAGATAAACACTCAAAATTACGACCTCATTCCACTTTAACTAACGCTTTTCCGTCAAATTGAGACCATGTTTTCGGAACCGCGCATAGGAAGCAGTTACGGACTCTACTTCAAATAAAATTTCCCTAAGTTTATAAACAAGTAATATTTTGAATATGTCATTTTTCCAAATGCTTACTGTTTAATCTATTTCTTAGTGAAAAAAATTACAAGTCAATTATAATTTGCATGATATTTTATATTTTCTGTTAAAGTGGTGTTCAAATAAAATTAATGAATACATGAATCAAATGGCTGCCAAAATTCTTGTATTACTTGATTACTTGACACAAGCCCCTCCCCTCTTCCCTTAACTCAGCAATAAACTATAACGCAAAAAAATCAGGTTCAGTCCCTGTGGTGAACATAGTACAGATAGCCCATTGAACATCTTTGAGCTTAAACCAGACAAGCACTAACTGTTAATTTCATGTTACAGTATTCACAGAAATTGTGTAAATAGTGAATAGCTTATCCATTTTAGGAATTTGCAGACTGTACCAAATGTTTATCGTTATTTTTTGATGTAATGTGCTTATCCTTTTTATAAAAAAATAAGTCCGAATTAAGTTTTCTCACATTTGAACATATCATATATGTGTTAACTAACCCCGCAAACTATGTTACCCATATGTCATTATTAGCAGTAAAGGGTCAGTGGTTAAAACCAGAAGAATTTTCGCATTCACCAAATTAGGGATGTTAACGCACACAACCGTTATGTAGTGTTGCTTGAATATCTGAAACAACAACAACAAAAAACATACACATACAAAACACATTACTCAACTTTTGCCTATATAGTTTTGGAAATGATTGTTTAAACAGTGAGGAAAAATGGTATAAAAGGCAAACACTGCGGGAAATTCCACCCATTTATTGTGTGAAAACGTATTGCATCAGAGTACAAGTAAGTGTAACAGATTTGGACATTTTAATAGTATTCCACACTTTATGACAGCACGAAAACAAGGTATAAAGCATTTTTTTAGAGGAAAGGACTGACGTAAAAAATACAAATGCATTCTACAATTTATTCACTTTTCTTTTGAATTTGTATAGTAATAAATTTTCCATGTAGTGGCCATCATTCGATGTTTGTGACCCCTGTATATGTAGTTCTGGTGTTTTTTCCATATTTATTTTCATTGTTGTACGGTATTCATATTTTTGATAAACTTTCTATAAATACTGTAGAACTCGGCCAATAAAGTAAACTATACGTGAATTATGATAATAGATTGTTTAGTTAACCAACTTTATATTATTCTAAGTAATTACCTGTTTGGAGGCACTATAGAGCCTCTAACTAATGGATACTTGCGAGATAAGTTTAGCGTGCCAGAACTGTGCACTTCACTGTCCAAACCCCGTTGCCTCCGAAACGTGATCCGTCCTTTCAGGCTACGGGTGCGCTATAATTTGTTTGTTTGTTTTAGCCCAACGTAGCTTTGCTCTAATCTGCTGTGTTCACCGCGAGAATCGAACTTCGGATTTTAGCTTTGTAAGTCCTTAGGCTAACCACTGTGTCATAGGGAGATATGCGCTATAAGAGTGACGGTTAAATTACACAATTCTACAAACAAGAGTAGCATAATAATTAACGGTGGGTGAATAACATCAATGAACTGCTTTCCCTCTAGTCTATCAGCTCACATTATGGACAATTATGTGCAGATAACCTTTTGCGCTAAACGTTTAACTGAAAAAAACATTAAACTAAGCAACTATACATCAGTAAAAATATTCTTTTGCACAGAGTATTCAATCAAGAAATTTGTGTGCACATAAGGATTATCTCTCTTCCCAGATTATTTGTGTGTAAGTAAGGTTTATTTCACTCCACAGATTATTCTACAAGTAAGTTATGTATACATTGACAATTATCTCTTCATAGGCTATTAAACCAAAGGATTCACGTGTAAATAAGAAATATGTATTTCTCCACAGATTATTCCTCCAAATCAACCACTTTATGGCCGAGGATACAGAGGTCTTCTCTACTTTCGGTTTTGGAGGTTCGGTAAATGGATGACTGTCTACATAGATGACCTTCTTCCCACCATTGATGGCCACCTGCTCTACTCTCGCTGTACGGATAGCCGAGAATTTTGGGTAGCCCTACTAGAAAAGGCTTACGCAAAGTAAGAATTATTTAAGTATGAATGAATGATTGACGCTTTACTTGTGTAATTTTTAAAATCAAATAAATAATTGATATGCAACGTTTCATATTTATACAATTAAAAGTTTATTAAAGCCGTCAACGGTTTCCACTTAAAAACCCTCTGCATGTTATATGTTTTGACACCTACATCATCTCCAGGAGTTGTTAACATGACAAAAAAAGGCTGTCGTTTTCAGGGATGGTGTTCTTTGTTATTATTTTTAAAAATTTTATCTCCAGGGGTTCCTTGATTCCTCTTCATCTATATTAGCTATTCAACTGTCTTAGTTAATGTCTTCAGACATAGCATTATGTGTTTTTCATAATTATAGATAATGGTTAGATTTAATATTTAATGTTCATAAGCTTTTTGGCCTCCTCAACACAGTTGTCCTTAACATCATATGCAACATTCTTTTTTTTTGTTTGGTAGGATTAAAACTCTTTTGACCTCACAAAAAAATTTTTTGCGAGTGTTTTTATTTTGTTTTGAAGACTGACCAAACTTTATTTTTGATATATCCTGTGGATTTTAGAAGTTTTGGTATATAAGGAAGTACAGACGAAGAAATTTTGCCAAGCTGCGACGATGGATAATTTCACTGTGGTTCTATGTTTTTTATTGTTAAGAATAAAACTACATCATAAGCTATCAGTACTTTGCCCACCACGGTGTCGAAACCTGGTTTGTAGCGTTATAAGCCTTCAGACTTGCAGCTGAGCCACTGGAGGGTTTTTGCAGTTGTTGACTCGCTTTGCTCTATAAGAAAAAAAAAAACTGTTATCAGCTTCCATTTCTAGAGCCTTAGTCACAAAAAAAACTGGTTAAAATTACCTCCTTTAAATTTACAGCCCCCCCCCCCAGTGGCACAGCGGTATGTCTGCTGACTTAAAATGCTAGAATCCGGGTTTCGATACTCGTGGTGGGCAGAGCACAGATAGCCCATTGTGTAGCTTTGTGCTTAATTACAAACAAAACAAAATCAAATTTACAAATAATGATCAATATTTTTGTTTATCTTCCTGTTATTATCAATCATCAAAAAAAGTATTGTCAGCTTCCAGAGTCCTGGAAACTTGTGATCTTTACTCAAACAAGGCATTTTCCGCCATCATAACCCTGAAAATTTGTGATTCATCCTCAAACATGTATGGACAGCCATTAGAGCCGTTGAAGCTAGTGATCCTTACTTAAACATGGTATTGTCAGTCACCAGAGCCCTTGAAAGTTGTGATGCTTATTTCAACAAGGCATTGTCAGTTACCAGAGTCCTGGAAATTTCTGATCCTTACTTAAACAAGGTATTGCTTGCTACCAGAGTCCTGGATACTTGCGATCTTCCCTCAAATAAGGTATTTTACCTTCCAAATACCTGGAAACTTGTGATCTGTTAGCCATCAAACAAGGTATTTTCATCCATCAGAGTCCTGGAAACTTGTGATCCTTACTCAAACAAGGTCTTGTCAGCCACCAGTCTTGGAAACTTGTGATCCCTACTTTATTGAAAATTAACTTAATTTCCTGAAAAAGTGTTTATAAAAAAAATGAATATCCGTCAAGACGTGGTGAAAAGCAGTTCAAATCTCTCATTTAAAAGAACGGATTTTTCAAATCGCAAAATCACAACACGAAAACGTTCCTAGAACTGTACTACCTTGTATACCCTGGATGCAAAACATAACGTTCTAAACAACATCAGCAATTCTTAAACAGTTTTTGAGCCAGGCCAATATTGTTTCCAGACTAGTCAAACAAAAAAAGAACGTCGTGTATGGTATTAAGTGCAATTGTGGCAAATAATAAGGTGGGGTAACCAAAACACCTTTGAGAAGTAGAGTACAAAAATCACAATCGACAACTACTTCACGTACATGTTTAGGTTTATTTCAGGTATAAGGTTTCAAGACTTTCAAGTGCTCTTCAAGAAGTAGAGTAAAATATTTTATAAATAAAATATAATTAGTATAAACTGTTTTTAAAATATACAAACCCACAGTTACAATGAAAGGAAATATAACACTAATTACACCTAAAGGATTAGGCTAAACTAACAGCAGAAAATAAAGGTAGTGTTGTGATTAAGGCAAAATAAAAACAACAAAAAATACATTTCAGTACCTGTAACAGTCATTACAACAGCAAGTAAAAACGGGAAATAAAATCAAATGTTCTTTTTTTTATATATAAATATTAACAGTGAAAGAAGGTCCTGAGAATGGTGGACACAGAGGCTTGGCAGGAATTTTGTTAAGCGACAAACAAATTACTGAGGGAACGTCAAAATTAGATAATCCTATAAGGGTGTGTTTTCTCCCATACCAAAATACCTGTTTATGCCGTTTTTATGCAGTGCTGTCAAGAATTTCTTTACAGTCTCAATTATTTCATTACGAGCATAACATTCTGTGTTCTGTTATTGGTCGTATTGTTAGAAAAACTGATGCTCGTGTGTAATTTTGTATTCTAATGTTCAAAGGATTTTGTTTTGTCCTCCCAACTTATTCTTTGCTACAATTGCACTTAACACCATATATAACAATCTATTACTGTTTGAAGAATCTGCGGACAGTTATGTTTTATTATACAAATTTTAGAAGTTTTATTGCATAAGACAGTAGAATTAAAAGAAATTTCTCCTGTTGCGATATTGTGGTTGGAGAATTTCTTTCTTTTCTTTCGAAACAGTTTACAGGGATATAAATTTTTATTTCTTACAAATCTTACGTAGGGGGTGCTGGTGGTGTAGAAATGCTTATATAGTTATAACTCAGCTGCTTATGGTATTTAACGTTTTCTACATAGTGTACATTCTTCTGATAAAGCATTCGCATTTTTTGGCTTGAAGCAGTTGCATGCTCCCAGACCCCCGTAGCATTAGCCTGAGAATTGTGTTTCTCTTCGTAGATTTACTTATTTCTATCAAAGAGCCCCTTGTCATTTGATTTAGGTATTCTACATAAAGAATAGCTCGTAAAAGTGAATTATTAGACCGAAACATTTCCTTTTTATTTGATCTCTCTCTCTCTCTGACATACACTGCTAAGTACGTTGAATAATAACATTGGCTAATTATTAAATAGCGATGTTGAGCGTCAAAAGCTGACGAAGCATTGAAAAACCAATAATCCTAATGTTCGCGCATTTCTCTTAAGTTGTTCATTACTAAAACCCTAAGTATAAAATTAATATACAGTATAATGCAATTTTTATAACAAACATTTAAAAGTTTTGATTTTAGCTTGTTTTAGTGCACTTCTTGGACATTGTTGTACAACACCTAATCCACGATATTTTTCAGTGAAGATTTTGTTTCTTTGTTTGATTCGGTGCAAATTGTGACGGGGGTCTCTACGTTAACCATCTCTAATTAATTTGGGATAGAGTATAGGAAAGGCAGCTAGTTAACACTACCTACCGCCGACTCTTGGTCTACTACTGTCAGACTGAAGAGGCAAATTTGACCGTAACTCTTATATCGCACCCATGGCACCAAAGTGCGGAGTGCGATTTATTTTGTCGTTAAAGGGACTAGAACTTCAGTTCCATAGTACAGAACGCTAACAGCTAGACAGCCCTTAAAGTGAAGAAAGACAAAACGTAACTTCCTTGAACATCTTACTTACGCTAGGGTTTTATTCACGTCAATAGAGCTAGATAATAATCTAATCAGAAACACCTTAGCTATGAAAAAAAAAAAAGGTGCGGCCAGAAAAGGACTGAACGTGAGACTTTTAGCATTGTTATGAATTTTACAGCAAATATTCATTCACTAGTTAGCCATGCCGCGTTTTTTGTTCAACTTGGGATATGATGGTGGGTAAAAGAAAATACGTGGTCTAGCTTACTAATGAATGAATATTTTCTATAAAATTGTTATCAGTGCTATAATTATAGTTAACAGTTTGGCCGCCAATTTTGATTTCATTCCTTTAACTCGGACACTCAATTATTTTTTGGCCGCACCTTTTTGTCACACCTAAGGTGTTTTTGAAGAGATGTCATGACTTTTTGTCAATACACCAATACACCACAGCAAGTAAGAAAGTCACACTCGATAGTAATGAACATTAGCTTTAGGATCAGAACCATATTATTCAGAACGGACCTAGTCTTTACAGAACTAACCGGGCTCTTTAAAATATATGGTGGCAGTTTTCCTCTTTAAAACAGTGTTAGTAACTATATATATATATATATATATAATAACGCAATGGAAGCTAGATTAACAGTTTCTTGTCATCACCCGCATGCACTGGGTAGAGCCGTATCAAGCATAAGTATTTACGTTAATTCCTGAAGCTAATATCACGTGACGCTAAACGCTGTTCAATAATAATAAGTTCATAAAATTTAGCAAATTTGTGCCTAAAAGCTGGGAATGAATAGTAACCATTCGTACATATGATTCTTTTGAAGACTTGAACAAGAAACTGCTAGTTTGTTCCTTTATATCAGCCGTCTTTAATCCGAATGAGAAAAACTAAAAACGGTCCACCTTTACTCTTAGATGAAGCTGTAGTAACAACTGCAGACCGATAGCTTAAGTGACGTTTTGCGTATGCGTGCACAAAGATTCTGTTCAAAATTGACCGGTTTTTGTTGAACAATTTTGCACATGTGACATATACTTAGACCAAACTTGACAACTAATTTTAGGTTGTAAAAATCTGTCAGATTACCAAATTAAAAATAAATCCATGAAAGTTAAGTATGTTTTTCTATGAAATAAAGTTTCCGTAATTTTCGGTGCGAATTAAAAAATAGGAAGAATTCAATCAAAATTGAAGATTTTATATCTCGTGTATATCTGAATGGATTGCTTTGAAATTTGGTATGTGAATTAAAGGTCTAATAGAGCACATCCATGGGAAATATGTGATAGTTTGATTTACTACAGTTCAAACTACAGAAAATTGAAAATTGTTAAATTATCATTCCTGTTAATAACGCACAATATGTCCTGCAGATTGTTTTGGCTACGCGACACACTTCTGTGTGTCTTGATAGGATGAATAACAATTTAGCTTTTATCCATGAAAATATTGAATTATATGTTTTATTCTGAAAATCAAATGTGTACATGATGAAAGAACATAGTTGAATAGGCTCTACCCCGAGTTTGTGTGCATTATATATATTTATTTTCAAGAGTTTTTGTTTCAGGCTACATGGCTCTTACGAGGCTCTGGAAGGAGGACAAGCCATGGATGCTCTTGTGGATTTGACTAGTGGGCTAGCTGAACGATACGATCTGGCAGATGCACCTCCTGACCTCTACCACTTTTTGTTAAAAGCTTCTAATAATGGAGCATTTATCACGTGTTCCAGAAAAGTATGTCTTCTGTCAAACATATATTTCTTTCCGAGTAGAGTCTTGTATACCTTTTTCTACTTAAGGCAACTAAATTAAAATGTGTTACAAAATTGTGAGTTTAATCATTAGTATCTTGATACGATTTTGACTTGTTATGATAATTCGTAGCTGGATTGAATAAAAATGTCACATATGCAGCCACTTGTGGTAAGATGTACGTGACAATAAGCTAGATAGAAAGTCTGGATTTACAGCTACTGCGTGACAATAAGCTAGATAGAAAGTCTGCATTTACAGCTACTACGTGACAGTATTATTGCGAATTTTAAATATAACGAGTGTACAGGAAGTAAGTAAACTGTTCTTATTTTAATTGTCGACGTTAAAACGATTTACAGCAGTTCTTCTGTGGACATTTTCAAGATGAAAGACTGACTTACAAATTATAAATTACCATATTATTATACAATCATATATTTTGTATGCATTATTGAATATGCCATAATTCTATTTATAATCAATGTTGTTTTTTCTTGTATGTTCTACAGGGTGACTGGAGAGAAGCGACAACAGCAGATCCAAATGGCCTAGTTCCTGGCCACGCGTACACCGTTTCAGGTGTTGCCAAGGTTTGAAGATTCTTGAGTTTGATCTTTAGAATAACCAAAACTATAACTTGCTGTCAGTTGTTTTTATTTTGTTATTTCATACCCATTTGTAAGAATGTTTGCAAAGAGAAAAAAAACTGTTTGTGTATTTTAAAAGAAATTTATCATGCTATATAAAGTAAATTTAGATATATATATATATTTATTACTGTCCATAGTTTTATGGATAGTAAAAGAATCGTTGTTCTGCATCTGTCTTTTTTTAATCATAGAAAAATAATTAATCTTTATTACTCTTTTATGATATTTTGACAACTAAAGTAACCATCATGAAAGTTTCTGATAGGCAATTGAACGGTGTAATGATATGTCTCTATACAGGGAGTCCTCAACAGGCGGCTCTTGAAATGTCCCGCACAGTTTAAGATATCATTATCTAACACAATTTAACACAAATATTTCTTTGTTTGATTTCATTCAAATCTTTAAGAAGGATATATGAGCTAACAATCTTTAATTATTATGTGATAGGCTAGACGGAGGGCAGCCAGTCAGCACTACCTACCGCCTCACCAATTACACTTAAAGGATTAGATTAAAATAATAGCAGAAAGTAATGCTAGTGTTGTGATTAAAGTAAAAATGAGAACAACAAAAAATACATTTCATTACCTGTAACATTTATTGCAATATCAAGTAAAAGCGTGAAATAAAATCACATGTTCTTTTTTATAAATATTCAATTAACGGTGAAAGAAGGCCCTGAGAATGTTGGACACAAAAGCTTAGCAGGAATTTTGATAAAATGCTAACAAACAACTGAAGGAATGTCAAGATTAGATAATCCTATAATGAAGTGTTCTCGACCATACCAAAAAATCGCCATTGATGTCGTTTTTATGCAGTGCTGCAATTTGTCAAAAATGTTTTCATTGTTTCATTCAAAATGGCGAGTGTACAGGAAATATGCAAACCATGACCAAATAAAACACTAGGTACTCCATGAATATATATTTGTTATAATTCCCAAGTCACTATCTGTGAACTTCATGGACAACTGATAATTTCACCTACTCATTACTGCCTTCCAGTGATTCGATGGTAAGTCTGAGGGCTTATAATGTTAGAAGTCGGGTTTCCATACCCGTGGTGGGCACAGCACATATAGCCCATTGTGTAGCTTTGTGCTTAACAAAAAAATAAAACCAACCCATTAAAATACCAACCTCATCAAATTGAAATATTATCTGCACTATGCTACTGAAAAACACTATGTAAAACGGTTAGAACCACTCTAGCCACTCTATTTTTTTACTTTTATCTCTTACATGACAAATTCACCATCTGCTGCATGTTTCAACATCAAAATTGAAATATTTTTTCAACTATTATTCATGAAAATAACACCTACACCGAATTTTCCAATAAAACTTTGCAGGTTAGTTATTACAGTTAACCTCGCATTAATTCCTCAGGTCGAGATCAAATCCTTTGTTTCTATAGCCTCATTGTCTTTTTGTTGTTTATTACTGCGCTAATTTTGTAATTGATTCATTTGTGTTAATTTTTTAAAAAAAACATTCATGAATGACTCTATGTAACATTAGTACATGTTCGTGAGACCACATACAGGTATATTTGTATACATACATTTATTGCTATATACATATGCTGCCATTACACTTTGTTAACTACTTTAGTAGTTTACACAGTTTACCTCTGGCAACTGCATGAACCACTTCAGTAATATTCAAGTTACCTGCTGAAGCTACGCTTGGTATCAATGGTAATATCATCTATGGACTGTCACATTCAACGTATTTATATATCAGACCTCATTAAATAAATAAACACTAACAAAAATCAGCCAAACTAACACTTTTTAACTAAAAGTCTATTTAACAGGCTTAAAATGTGTGCTCTTACTACTTTGCTCCAATTCACAATCAGAAGAAGCAGGATTCCTTCATAGATCAAAAATCTGGCATATTTCCCAGACAAATCAATGAAAAAATCTAATGAGTACTACGTGACACGCCCCACAGAGTTCTCACCACTCAGATAGATTATTTGAGTAATCATCTTGAAACATCAAATGACATTTCAACTCAGAAAACAAATCCAGTGGATTAGAAAGCAAGAGATGCAATGCCTTCTATTCTATTTCATGGCCTGCATTCATTATGGTGGAAATGACTACTGTTGCAATTCCCACTCAGAATCCAGGGTCAAGATATTTCATGAATGGACATGGTCTCACTGTGTGGTGAGATAATTTGTCTGTATTTCCAAGTTTTCATTTTGAGTGATGAACTATGAGAAAGTCAGATTCTTGCACATCATTATCCCACATGCTATTATCACTTCTTTTGGGATTTTTTTAAGTACACTAACTACTTTCAGCAAAACATTGGCCACCTAGATGGTGAACTTGACCATACATATAGTGTCAATAGTATTTTATGAAGATGATTACTGCGAGTAGCTATTGTTTTCATTGTACAGTGTTTGCATTCGGGAGTCGTGAACGTATGACTAGCATATAGAATTACACATCATACTCCATATGCAGTTGGTATTACATTGCTCTGATGTCATTGATACTGTCACAAGTGCCAAACAGGAGCTCATAGTCTTCTCACTTTGTCTCTGGTCAAGGCCAATCTCTCGCCACAGCTATTTTAGCCAGATCTGTCAAAACTCTTTCTCTTTCCACAACGTTACCAGGAAACTCCACCTCTCTTCACACGAATGAACTTTCCTGGTTTCAATTTCAAGCCTACTCCAGGTATGTACTATAATATCGATTTCAGATTCTTATACACAGACTCGAAAATGTAGCCAAACACCAAAACATCATCAATACAGACCAAGCATATTTCCCATTGCAGTACTTTCTGTTTAAAATCCACGAGCCACTTGAAATACGTTAATGCATTACATAGACCAAATTGTATGATGCAGAATTCATAGGTGCTCAGAAAGAAAGAAAGATACACTACTTTGTTTCAGTCCTTGGTTTCTCAACCAAATGATTACCCTACCTGGTGTGATCAAATAATGATAATAAAATGTAACTTGTATATTCTACTAGACATCACTATCTGATAGTTTGGAAAGCAAGAGTGATGACATTCTTTTAATCTGTAATCATTTGAGTATCTGACAATACTAGCTTGTAGCAAGTGGTTCGAATCTCAGTCATACCTGTGAGTGGAATGTCTTCAGTGACTTAGCTGACAACTTTAGTTCCCCATCACCTCTTCTGGTGTTTTACTCATTTGACTTGTCAAAAACAGCCCGAGAAGTACTTGAATATTTCTCCTACTCATTGGCTGAGCTTATATAATCTCAGGTTCATAGGATTCGACCAAGGTACTAAAGTTTCTTCCATGACCAATGGTCTCAGCTTATTCAAGTATGGATACACTTGCATGCACGTCATGCATTCTGAATCTCATAAGTCTCATAAGTTGGTTTATGTGTTGCAGGCATATATCATTGTCACGTCCAGTCTCCAAATTGAAAAATCTCTCTGGTTGTCTTGTTATAGCATTGTTCTTGATGGATGGCTGACTTACTTAGTTCTCTGCTCACGAATTTGTGTGTATCAGCTATAGTTGTTCTCAGCCATTCAACAGATGCCTGAGGGCAAAGTGATGCTTTAGGATTAGAAGGTTGACCATACATCTTGTCCATAGGGAGTGTTACTTCACACCCAAAACAAACATAAGCATGTTAGGCAAAGAACCTGTTGATTTCTTTTTCCATGGTATGCCAGACATGATATGGATATGCCACATGACTGTATTCTTGCAAACCAAAATGTAGCAAACAATCTGGACCCTCCACCTGTAGTGATGTTCCAGGAAAAGCATTGACTGTTCCTGTTATGGTGATACAAATATCACAGGTGGTCATGAAAAGTCATATCTAGTGGCTCAGTACCAGTCTGTTTACATTCCAGCACCTTGTGGTGCAGCTTTTGGCTCCATTATCAACAGAAGGAAAGCTTGACATTGGGGATCACTGTCAGTTAGATAATTTATAGTCAGGAGAGCCACGAAAGCTGCTGCCATTAGCTTCCTCATTTTTGGTTATGCTCAGTCCAAATTGACTAACTCAAACCACAATGCTACTGATACTGCCTCCTATAGGACACGTATGTCTCAAACACCTAAGTGATGCCTTATTGTCTCACTCAGGAGTCCCTTGATAAATTTGTCAAATAAGATGTATTTGAAATTTGCAGCCAAAATAGCAGTATATGCCTTCATATGCATTTGGTGCAGATCATTGGGAAAGGCACCCATTTTTTCAATTGGACCTCGTCTGAAACACTTAAGTCCTTCTGATTCAGACCATTAGGACAGCTTGGCCATGAATTAGTCTTAGTTGGCCTGCTACTTCTTTTGTAAGTGCTCGACAATGTCGAGCACTGGACCATCCTCACACAGTAACAGACATTGCATTGCTTGTTCCTGTGACAAGCAGTTTTAGACATGTACTTGCCAGAATCTATGAAAGAAATGATCCAAGTCCTCTTTTGTTGCTCTCTTGAATATAGGAAGGAAGGTCCCCTTGGCATTGACAATGAGTGTACATGGATCTCTCACATTTTGCCTTGCAGTTCGTCTCAGGCATGACTGTCCAGTATGATGGGTTGTTCACGAGATTTCAGGTTTCCATAGTCACACACTCAGAACCTTGGGGTTGATGCAGACCACAGCTATTCAGGAGGGCATGCTGATTCACTCACTGCTCTGTGACATTTTTTGCCTCAGCAACCCACCTCTCCTGTTTGAAAGTATTTCACTAGTTCCAATATTCATCCTCGTATAGATTAAGCACTTGCTGTGTCACTGTATGGTGATACAAATTGCTGAGGTTCACATGTGGTGCTTCTTTTCTTAGTTGTTCTGTGCTAGTGTACTCTTCCTCCATCTCATAAATAGGGAGCACATGCTGTGTCACCTAACTGTGATATAGAGTGCTGAAATGGACTTCATTTACCCATGGTG